CGGAATGTGCTGTTGTTGGGTGTCGTATGTGGTGTGTGTGTGCGTGTGACAGAGAGAGACGTGGCGTGTGCGTGTGCAGTGTTTAGAGGCTTCCGATTCCAGAAACGGAAGACATTTTTTTTTTCGCGCGTGGATTAATCGGCTAAAACAGCAACGCGGGGGTCGCGGGGGGGGGGGGGGGGGGGGGAGTGGGGGTCCGGGAGAGGGAGAAAGCCAAGTCTTAAGAGATACAGCACTTGCTTTGTACAGAGAGCGGAGTGTTCCCACGTCCCCCACTCCCTCTCTCTTTGAATCATACATTTTTATATATACACATGTATTAAAATATAGACACACACACAGCATAATTGCCAACATTTTTTGGTGGGCGGAGGGGGGTGGGGGGGTGGGTGGGAGAGAAGATATCCTGATTCTCCGCCCCTAAAGCAGACACGATACCGATCGAAGACTGCGATCCAAAAAAAATATTCCTCCGGTTTTAATTAAAATGGGTTTATATATTTTTTTTTTCTCCTCCTCCTCCTTCCACTCGGAACACAAAATTCCTGCAGGACCCGGTTGAAAAGGAACAGAGAGAGAGAGAGAGAGACCAGACCAGACCAACGGTACGAAAAGCTATTCGACCACAGGCGTAAAACAGAGCGCAAAGCAGAACGGAGGGGAGTGCGCGAGCGCGTGCGCCAGGAGGGGTGTCGCACAAATCGTTTACATACATTATTTTAAAAAAGTCCCGACACGTGTTAAAAATTAATGACATTATTATCCTTTTCCTCCGTCTCTCTGTCTGTCTCTGTCTGTCTGTCGCTCCCTCCTTTCTCTCTAGGAAAGAAAAGTATCCCCACCCTCCACCCCCACCCACCCCCTCACCCACCCCGTAGGGTTATCCTGACAAAATATCAACAGCTTTACCGACAGTAAAAAGTGACATAAAAATCTAAAAAGGCTTAATCACGTGGCGGCCGTAGCCCCAGAACCTGTACACACTTTCTGCAGTTTGCTAGTTAACTCGATTTGACTTGACATAACAAAAAAAAACTCCAGCGGCCTATTTATTTATCTATCTAACTATCTATCGTTCCCTCCGCGTGGCTTCGACCTTCGTGTGTGTCACGGAGCGATAGAATTACCGTGTGTTTTTTTTTTCTTTTTCTTTTTAAAAAAAAAAAAGAGAGGACGACGGCCGGCGGCGGCGGGGTGGTGGTGGGGGGGGGGGCGGCGGGAGTTTACTGCGAGCCGGAGCCCTGCGAACCTCCGGAGTAGTTCCCGTACGTGTAGTTCCCGTAATATTGGTTCCACTGACTCTCGTTCTGGTAGTACTGGTTCCACTGTTGAGCGTACTGAGGGACAAGAGTTGGAGTGAGTCTCATTTTCTTCCCCGCCACACCCTCTCCTCTCGCGCCTTCGTCAACCGCAACCAATTATGTTTACGCAGAAGCCTTTCGTGTCGGGAGGACGTTTGCAGGTCGACTGCTCTCCCCCACCCCCCACACCTCCCCCCCTCCCCAAGTAAAGCAAAAGTACCCGCTGGCCGCGCTCCCACGTCGCCTCTGGCAGTCAGTCGCAGCGGATCCTGTGAAGCGCTTCGGGACAGGTCAATGACGCGCTAAGGCGCTGTTTCCAATGCGAGGATCATTGCTATTATTACATTAGTTATTACTCACAGGGCTCTGTGGCCTTTCAGGCAGCTCTTACCAATCAATACCGGCGCTGAGGACAGGGGAGTGTGAGGATCTGGCGCTAACGCCTTCCCTTGCCGGGACCAGAGGGGATTCAGTCACCTGCTCGTTGCCTTGTACATTTCGAGAGTGCGGACACTTGGGCAAGTTGGGGGTGGTGGTGGGGGTGGGGGGAACGGGACCCTTTTAAACGGCCATTTTACTCACCTGCTGGTACTGGCTGGGGTACTGCTGGCTGTAGGTTTGTGTCGTCGCCTGGGGCGGATGTTGGCTGTAACCCTGGGTGTAGCTGTCGTAGTTGCTGTAGTTCCCGTAGTTGTAGTTCTGATTGTAGCCTTGACTGTAGCCTTGGACATAACCCTGACTGTAGCTCTGCTGAGGAACGAGACACGGGGGTGGGGGGGGGAAATTGACAGGATGGCATACATTCCCCCATCCCAGTCCCTCCGCGTCGCCCCCTCCCTTGCCCCCCTTCTTCCACCATGCCTTCGATCACCCTCCTACCCCTCCACACCCCCACCGATGCCAACCACCAACTCGGGTCCAGGATCCCTGACTGTCCAGCGGCTTGGGGACGTCCTCCTGGCGCGAAAGGCGCTATACAAATCTACGGAATAACAGTAATAATGACTACTATTACCGTGAACCCTCCCCGCCCGCCCGCGCGCGCACAAAAATGGGCGTTCCCGTCTGTCCTTCCTCCCCCCAAAAAAACGATCGCCCGGCTCGCAACGGGCAACTGCGATGGGAGTAGAGAGTGGGGGTGGCGGTGGGGTGGGGCGGTGGGCGGGCGTCACCTTACCTGTCCCGGACTGTAGCTGCTTTTGCTGTAGCTGGGCGTACGTGGAGCGCCGTAACTCTGTGTCCGGTTGTAGTTCCCGCGGCTGGCCACGGCGGTGGGTGCGGGGGCTGGGACCATGCTGCCGCCGCCGCCGCTGCCGCCGCCGCCGCCGCCGCCGCCGCTGCCGCCGCTGCTGCTGCTGCTAGTGCCCCAGCGACTGGGAGGGGTGTTCCCTCCACGGCTGTAGCCTGCGCGAGGACAACAACACGACACAACACAAGTGTTACCTCTACATCGCTTAAGAACACAATGTACCCTCCGTTCCCTCCGGCTCCGGTCTGCTCCACGTCCCCCGCCCCAACCGCCCGACCATCGGTGGCCTTCAGCCTCTCAGCCCCGAGGCTCTGGACGTCCATCCCCAGTGCCTTCGCCGCTTCCTCCCTTTCCTCCTTCAAGGCCGGTCTCAAGGCCTTTCTCCTTGACCGTACCTTCAGCTCCGCTCTCGACTCTCTACCCCCTCCTCGCTCCCTCCCTCCCTCCCCTCACCCTGACCATTTCCCCCCAATGCTCGGGTCCTGACCCAACTGTGCAGCGCCTCGGGACGTCCTCCCGACGTGAAAGGCGCTCTATAAATGAATTGTTGTTGTTGTTGTTGGAAGGCCAGTCGAACAAAGCCTGAGGTCCATCTGGTTCGCCTTCCACCTTCCTGGTGGTCTCTTGCACCTGCGCCCCGAACTACCTACGTACCTCAGCCCTCATTTGCACAGCGCCTTTCATGTCGGGAGGACATCCCGAGGCGCCGGACAGCCGAGGATTTCGATTGAACCTGGTTCAACGCACACGCTACATGTCCGGACACCACGCCACACACACGCCCGCACACCCGCGCGCTCAATAAAAAGAAATTCTTAACGTCGGCCCTCGATAGAAGCGTCTTACTTGTTATCACACGGCCTCGGTGCCGTCGTCGTCGTCCCGTCCCCCCCCCCCCCCCGTCCGTGCGCGCCTCCCTCGCGCGCGCCCCACGACTCAGACCGGCCAAATCGAGGGGGTGACTCCTCGGTCGTTACTCTGCACTGATCACAGCAGTGGGCGCGGGGCGGGGGGAGAGGCGCAATCGCTCCACCCTCTCCACGGCCACTGCTGGTGAGTACATTTATACCCACCTTCGGCGTTGGCTGGTGGGGTGAGCGCTTAGATCAAGGTCTAGCCTAGCGCCCACCCCCCACCCCACCCCCCACCCTCTCTATGTCCGTCTCCCTCCCATTCAGAGCGTACGTGTTTGCTTGGCTGAGTCTCGATGAATCATTGCGCTGCGGTCCGGACTAACCCGGGATAGCGGGCAGAGCGTCTCGGGTCGCAAGCGCTTGCGGTTTCAAACACCTTCCCGGAGCGGCAGCAGCTTTCCAGGGGGATTGCCCTCCAGCCCTCGAGTGGCTCGTCCCAAGCGTCGTGACCGACGCGCAATATCGATGCCGCTGCGTGTTGCTCTGCGTGTTGCTCTGCGTGTTGCTCTGCGCGTGTGCGCGGGTTGTGCGAACGTCAGTACCCCATTTGGCTCTTGAAAGAATCGGAACGCTTTCTGCTGCCGGAGTCCGTCTCGTTCCCAGTCTCCCCCGTTCCGCAGCCTGTTCCGTTCCGCACGTTTACCGCTCGCTCTCCGAAGTAGTGTGTGTGTGTGTCCCGATTTGTTGTAAATGTACCCCCCCACCCCCCAATCCCCACCGGTTCGATCGCAGACCGTGTCCTCTGGTCCTACCGTTTCACCACAAGATAAAACCGAGCTTACCCGGTCCCTCCAGAAAGTCTCTACCAGCTCTCCGAGCGAGTGTTCGTTCGGACCCACCGCCCACTCTTCCCCTTCGTGGGGACAGGAGGAGGCCATTCAGCCCCGAGAGCCAGTTCCGCCATTCTATTAGATCACGGCCAATCTGTGCCTCAACCCCCCACCCACCCGCCTCTGCCCCGTATCCCTCGATCCCCTCCGACAAACATCTCTCCACCTCGGACTGGACAATGTGAATGGATCCACAGCCATAACCCGCAGCCCTTTTTTTTTGGTGGTGGGGGGGGGAGAGAGTTCCAGATTCTCACTGACCCTTTTCACGTCGGGAGGACGTCCCAAGGCAACTGGACGGACAGTCAGGGATTATATATGTGTACATATATACATATATATATACACTGTCTGCTTCCCTGTTTCGCGCCGACAGATGTCCCCGTTGCGTTTCCTTCGCGCCCGCGGGTTACAGTTTAGTTTGCTCAGCGCCCGCTTTTTTTTTAAAAAGCTCGGGAGGGGGGACGGCGCCTGACGATCGGCCGGGCTGGGGCTGGGGTGGGTGGGGGGGGGGGGGGGGGCGGTGGGGGGGAGCAGGAAACGACGCTACACAAACCCAACGGTTGGTGTGCGTGCGGGAGGCGGTTTGGTCTCCGCCGACCACGTCTGCACTGACCCATCCACGAAACACAACCGAACGTTACCTCTGCGCTTCGAAATAGGTCCCGTACAAGGCGTCCGCAAAGTCCCGCTGTCCCCCCGCACCCACACACCCGCCGCCGCCGCCGCTCCGCGTATTTTTTTTCCCCCTACGGTGCGCACTGACCCAACAACCGAAAGGTGTGGGAGAATGATGACCGTTGTGTCGAGGAGTACTTGTTTAGAAATGCAATTGTATTTAAGTGCGTTGCGTTGCGTTTAGACATCCAGTGGGATCGGTGCGTGTGTGTGCGCGCGGGCGAGCGAGTGTGTGTGTGCGTGTGTGCGCGCGTGTGTGTGCGCGTGTGCATGCGCGCGTGTGGGCAAGCGAGCGTGTGTGTGTGTGTGTGTATGCGCGCGTGTGGGCGAGCGTGTATGTGCGTCCATGTGTGTGCGAGTGTGTGTGCGCGTGTGTGTGTGTGCGTGTGTGTGTGGGCGAGCGTGTGTGTGCGCGCGTGTGGGCGAGCGAGCGTGTGTGCGCGTGTGCGTGCGTGTGTGTGGGCGAGCGTGTGTGTGCGCGCGTGTGGGCGAGCGAGCGTGTGTGCGCGTGTGTGTGCGTGCGTGCGTGTGATTGTGCGCGCGAGCGCCGTCGTTTTCGCGGCAGATCACCATCCGTCACCGCGTTCGGTGTGACGTCTTCTGTAACGTGGACGGAGTGAGCGATGAAGGATAAACATATCTCTCGACGGACAGTCTGAGCTCCTCTCTCTGTAGTCTCGTATCGCTGCTTCGTAATTTGTGGGCGAACGCGGCGGCCAATTGCGCACAGCAATGTCCCACAGACAGTCGTGGATTGAAAATGACCAATTTATTATGTTTTTGGTTTTGGAGGGTTTATTATTAGGCTCTGTGTGGAGTAAGGAAACTTGTCCCGAGGTTTCGCCCTCTGCCGGGGATTGAACTCAGGTCTCTCACTCGCAAAGCGAGTGCTCTAACCCCTGAGCCTCAGGACTCCTTGTCCTGTCCTCGAGACGCCTCCCAAGCGCCGCAGAGTGAATCGACCGCGCGCTTCGCGGCCCCCGACGGCGCGCGGCAGCTTCCCGGCGCCGCGGGAGGGAGGGAGGGAGGGAGGGAGACCGATTCGATTCGGGGGAGTTATCGGCCGGGACACCGAGAGGGAGAGGGGGAGAGGGGGAGAGGGAGAGAGACTCAAACCCACAAACTTCTGACTCGAGGAGAGAGCCACCGCTGAGCCGCGTTGACGCGCTGTTCGCGAGTCGTCGCTGCAAAACTCAAGTCGCTTCAATCGGTCGGCGATACGGTGAGTAGGCGACCGGGTGGGGGGTTTTTTTTTGCCCCCCCACCCCCACACACACACCCACCCCCCCACCCTCTATGTTCCCTTACAGAAATCTGTCTCGACCGTCCTCGAGAGGCTCAAGTCGGCTCAGGTTCGCGTTCACGCCGGACTCCCGAGGTCGTGCCCGGATCCGGCGCGTTCCAGAGCTCGTCCCGGGGCGGACGGGGTGGGGGGGGGGTGGGGTGGTGGGTGGGGGTGGAGGTTGTGGGGGGTCGGAGGCGGAAGGTGAGCAGCCGTCGACGGGATTAGGGACACGAACAAGTTCTGAATAGATCAGTGCGATAATAATAATAGTATTTGCGTTTGATTCTTAGCGCCTCATCGGGTCGTTCGGACGCCCCCGAAGCGCTCCGCGGACGGACTGACCCGCGTGCGAACGCTCCGGACCGCTCAGCGACGGGACCCCACGCAAAAGGCGGTACCAAATGCAAAGATTATTATTATTATTATTATTATTATTATCATCGTCTTCGTCGTGGTCGTGGTCGTCGTCGTGGTCGTCGTTACGCGCTGCTCCCGCGCCCCGTTTGCTGGCGGGGGCTGCAGCGCAGGAGGTACGGCCGGTGGAGGGTCGAGAAGCCGCTGGACAGGGGCGCGATGTCGACGGCCTCCGGCTCCGCTCGCGATCCGAGGGTGAAGTTCCGCAGCAGCGCGGTGAGGAAGAGGAAGAGCTGCGTCTGAGCCACCTTCTCGCCGATGCACATCCGGCTGCCTGCACGAGACCACGCTCCGGTTAAGACGGCAACGGCGCGCGCCTCGGACGCGGCGGCGGCGGCGGCGCACGCGTTATTTTTGAAGGAGCTTCGAGCCCGCTCCGACCTCTCCCCGTTATCTCGGAGCCCCCCACCCCCACCCCCCCCACCACCCCCACCCCACCCCGGGTATCGCTTGGGTTAACCGTCCAGGGCAGCGGGACTGCCCAAAGCGCTTCGCGGGACGCGCGGACCCGTGGTTTTTTTTTCCTCGTTGCGGTTGCGGTCGGCGCACGCGGCAGACGGTTTCGCGCGCAGCGAGGTTTCCCCCCAACCCCCACCACCACCCCACCCCCCCCAGCCCCGCCCCGCCCGCCCCGACCTGTGGAAAAGGGGATGAAAGCCTCGTTCTTCTTGAACTGTCCCCTTTCGTCCAGGAAGTGGTTGGGGTCGAAGGTGTGCGGAGATTCCCAGTGACTCGGGTCGTGCAACACCGAGGCCAAGAGGGGAATCACCAACATTCCCTGTGGAGGAGAGCGATTTGTAGTAATAATAATAATAATAATAATAATAATAATA